AGAGAGAGAGAGAGAGAGAGAGAGAAAGGAATAAACAAACACTTTACAGAATAAAGTAGTCAAAAACTACTTTCGATTAACTGAATGAGTTTAAGTGTCACACTAAAAACCTCACGATAGTCGCGAGCAATTCTATCATGATTATTTAAATATTTTCTTAAACAAATACTATCTTAATTTTAATTCTTTTTCATTTATCTTTCTCAATCACTTATAAGTATTTTTAATCCTAGGAATCTATTTGAATAAACAAAACATGTTAAAACATGTAACTCTTATTGTTAGAAAGAATATTATAATTACCTTACATTTGTGTATATTTGTGTGTTTTAAAAAGAAAATATGTATATTCGTCTTAATATATAAATTGCTAATATATGTGAAGTGATTGAATTGTAAAGCTTACGTTTTAAGAACGCGATTAATAGAGCGCGTGCAGATTTTCGGCTAAAATATTATTTTATATCATTACTAGTAGAGGAGCGAATTTATTATTTATAAAATATACGAAAAAATAATACACGAAGAGACGTAGGTAATGTGCATACCAGAAAAATGAGGAGTATCTGATATTTCCACCTCAACATTTCGATTCTCAACATAATGCGATATTACATACATATGTCCACAGATTATGTGAGTATGTGTACGAGTATGTGCTGTATTGATTCGAATGGAGAAGCCTCTCGCACATCGCAGTGTCTCTATAGCGCGTCGGATTAAACGCTTGCGTATACTACTGATGTCAATTTTATATCTTTCTCTATTTTTTTTTCGTTTTGCACACAACGTCATAATAATCAATATTTACTTTTTTTCTACTAATTGAGTGACAATGTTACATGATTACAATTCGATCTCTGCTATAGAATACGATAGAATCGCGTGAGCGAAGGAGGGTTTTTGTCACGTGAAACATTATCGCTATAATCACAGCTAAATAACATAATTATGAAAGCTTGTTATGTATAGAAAATATATCCAGAACTTTTGTTTATTTTTAAATGATATTCAATACTGCGATGAAATAAAGTTGCAAGAACCAGCAAGAGAGAGAGAGAGAGAGAGAGAGAAAAAGAGGGAATTATCGCATAAATAAAACATTCCAGAAAACATTTGATAAACAATATATAATTTGCCTTATTTTTATCGGCTTAGATAAGAGAAGAGAGATCTAAAAAATGTTTTTATTTTAGGTTCATTAAAATGTAACATTAAAATATATGTTATATATTAAAATGTAATCACAAGAATATAATAATTTCTGTTTTTCTTTTCTGGACATTTTTGCAATAATTTAGACTCGAGGAAAATGAGGGAGGAGGGAAAGACTTTCTGTTCTTTTCTACCAACATTACAACCCAGACAAAGTCTCAACCTCCTATATTTTTCTCCTTAACTCACATCACTCATCTACCAGACTCTTGCAATTAGTAGTTCAAGAGCTCTGCTACATCTCTTTTTACGTTGTCTTCTCAGCACAGTTGTGGTTTCTCCATTTCTTTATTATAGTTTCTTTTTCTACCTACAATTAAACAATGAAAATCTTTTTCGGTACCAACATTTCCAGGACACGCAATGTATAGCCTGCACATCTTAGTCCAATACAAAAACATGAAACATGTATAAAGTCTGTATAATTTTATAATTGTATAATATATATATCCTCTTACTTTTTTTATCCATAAATCGTTCACCTGGAAATATCATCAATTCTCCATAATATAGAGCTTCTCCTTTTAAAATTATTTAAACACACAAACTACGTGCTAATTTAATGTGTTATCCGAAAAATTAAATAAAGATACCATATCAATTTATACGAATGATGCTAATGTAAACATATAAGATTTAATGTAAAATATAAGATTGTGTATGTATTTATTTATTTAACAGAGAGAGAGAGAGAGAGAGAGTTATTTATTTAATATACGTACATGTATATGTATATATATGTATGGATTAGAATAAAAAATATATTAAAATAATAAATATCCATTAATTACATGCTCTTTGCGGATATGCGATTATACCGCTCGAGAATGTAATTATTGTACAGAAGTGTCACATACTAAAGCTACGTTGCAAAACGGTGTAAAATTTCCTCTCCGAGGAAAATTTTACTCGATGGCCGGCCTGTACCCAATCAAAAACGCTCAAAAAAGTTTCGGAACGGCCATCGAGTAAAATTTTCCTCGGAGAGTACGTTTTAGAACGTAGCCTAAATAAGCGAATATGCAGTTTCCATATTAATCATACAAGAATAAACCATTTTTATTAAGAAATAGTTCTGCTCGGGAGGTGACTAGCACTTGTTATTTACGGAGCGATAGCCAGAACACAACACACACACGCATTAATAATGATTTATATTTACGACATTCCGCAATAATATCATTTTTATCTGCACACAGTGATTGTGATAATTTTATTGTAATAATATGGAAGCTTGTAAAATTTATTTCAATCGCAAGAATTATAAATGAAAAATATTTTTCAGTTGGCCCGCATTTTGACCTTCTTTTTCACCACTCTTTCGTAACGGTTCGTCTTTCATCCCAGGTGAGTATTCGACCTAATCCCGAAGGATAAATCTTTATCACGTCTGACTTTTGCATCACTTTTTACTTCCTGAGTTTGATTCGATTGAATGTTGTAGTTCCACGTTCATTCCACAAATAATAATACAAAAATATAATTACTTCTTTGTCACAAATCTCTAAAGAATGAGAGTAAAAAATAAAACTATAGAGTACAAAATAGAAGAAAAATAAATAAACTCTTAAGATCCAGATTTAAAGACAATAAAATTATGATTAGTAAATAATTGTGGTTATAGGAAAAACAATATTATCAATAAATTTCAAAATGTATTAGTAAAATTCTGTGATACCCATTATTATGCTATAACTTTATATACTTGTGAGAGATATTAATTTTGTATCTCAAGTATGTATAACAAAACTCGATAGTTACAATTATGACATGCATCATGTAATATATCATTGTTCTTTATATAATCGAACGTAATAAATATACATATAATAAAATTGTTACTGTATATATTGAGCCCCATTTACCATATTTAAAATTTGGATGCTCAATAAATATTGTTCTAAATAAATGGTAAAACATTCTCGTTTTCTCATTTGGAATTAAAGAAAAAGCCGCATCGACTGCGTGCCAGAGGCGTGTCAAGAGTTGAAAGGTTATCTCCTAGCGTGATAATCGAGCAAACAGAGGAAAGGCGAATGGCATGATACATGTCGGCTTAATCGAGGATTGGCTATGATTGACTTGCAGTGATTTATGATGCGGCTATTGTGAATTGTGAATAATACTTTCTCTATTTCGCAAATTTATATATATATATATATAATTACATTTCATAATAAATATTTTCAATTATACATATATAAATGTGTAAAAGAGAATTGTGTGTGCACAAAATCGTGTCGACATAACGCGATTTGTACGCGTTTGTCGTTTTATTTTCAATGTTAATTATTGCAAACATCAATTCCTAAGCAAACTTCTTCCATCTTCCTGATCAAACTCTTGTTGAACTATAAATTCTATTTATTATCTTTTATTTTCCATTAGTTTCTACGTTCCTCATATAATATAAATGTTAATCATATAAATTAATCGTATGATTAATCATATATTTTTTACACAATATTGCATATATTAAGCACATATTTTTTTTGCATAATATAGTAGAATAATATAATCCTCTCATTTGTGCTAATTTTCTCTCATTTTATCGTTATTGGTTGAGTATCTCATCGTTTAGATATAGTGTCAAGATAAGCTGGTAATATATAATGTTGTATGAATGGATGCACATTCAATAATTAAATTTCGAGATCTTCCACGGAACCTTCGTACGCGCATCGGATAATATCATTGAAGACAGATGTATGTAATTTTATACCTCGTGTGAAACTTGGGTTGTAAAACGTATTTTGATATCTAATATATCAATTACGATTTTAAACAAAATGTTGGAGAGTACAACTACAAGAAAAGATTTAATGTGCTACATAAGATATGTACAAGTTATCTGCATGATAAATGCGTAGTAGCTGAAAAATTTATTCTACGTAATGTATCGACTGCATTATTATTTACTATTAGTTCTTCCGAGGTTGCAAATGTTTTTCGCACTTGCTTAAAGTTATAACATATGAAAACGTAAAACATATTTTTCACGAACACTTGTGTATAACACTTGTGTATTGCTATGCGTTTTATTAAAGCTACTCAATTTAGAAGAAACAATGTTAGAATGAAAGCAAGTACTAGGCAAGAAATGAAAGACAGAAGTAAAAAAGATAAATGGCAACGGAATGAGAAAAAGAGAGAGAGAGAGAGAGAAGGAGGGGGGGGGGAATAAATGAAAGAAAGGCAAGAAAAAAGAGAAAGAAAGGGTAACTCACGAACGTACATTTCGTTAAGATAAAAATTTAATATAAAACGACATATATACACACTCTATACGCGCGCGCGAGCGTGCGTAGTACATGCGTGTACGCGTACATAGGCCAATTTCAGCAAAACTTAAAATTTTTTAAAAAATGTACATTTTTGCTCTCATTAAATGTTGTTTATTATAGAATTAAACTTTTTAGATAAATAGAATAAATATACCGAAATAATCTCAGTCCTTTTCATTTTGAAGACGTTTCGAATGTCTTTTTAAAATTGACTAGAGAGAGAGAGAGAGAGAGAGAGCGCAAAAATTTCATAATATAATGACAGAATGTTTCTCTATCTATAAGATTAAATTACTTAAATATTTAATGAACAGAGTTTTTCAATAATAAAATATGATAAAATTTATCAAACACTTTTGGATGAGAAATCGCAATACATGTGATCGAACTCTATGATCGAAACAAGATAAAAGAGCATACGTTAAAAGCACGAGGATGCATCGGAATTATAGATTATGGGATACACGCGATATCACAGTAGTATATTCGAGCAGCTAACTTTTTCTTCAGCCTTCTAGAACAACACAGAGAAGCGCGGCATGCTGTTTCCTCATTAGCAAAGTATACTTTGAAATATGACATGCTGTTCTTTATATGAAAACTCGCTACGATTTGTTTTAACACAATTAGAAGCTAAAATTTCCGTAAACCGAGTAAAACTTTTTCTCATATTTCTTTTGCATAAAACAATAACGCTAACGAACAATACGGTAATAAATTATATATATTCATTATTTAAAATTTTCTTTCCATTTATAATAGTACAATACATACGTATGCAGATACTTTTGTCGTATTGATCTCTTAGTTAGCAAAATTTAATTGTAAAAGATTTTTCTTAATTTTAAGAACAAATGTAACACGCGAATGGAAAAATACAATTCCGTAAAATTCATCGCGTTTGTATCGGAAATAATACTCCGCCAACCTGTCGATTATACAAAACATCGTCGGCTTTGATCTCCACCAAGTTGCTGAAATTCTTTACAAAGAACGAATAATTCAAAGACTTCCGCTAACAATCTACATTGTGTCCATTAAATTTGCAAACAGCGAACATAAGACTTATCATTTCTTCTGCGATAAGCCGCAATTAGCAATAGCCGATAAAGATCTTGGCTAATTACTTTGTAGTGATAGTATCAGTTGGAATTTTTTTTTCTCTCTTTTATTTTGTTATAATAATTTCCAAAAGTTTTAATAAATCCGCTATTTTTTTTTTTTTGTTTCGATTTCTTTATACCGTTCACGAATCGCGAATTATGAATCACGAATTGCGAATCGCGCATAGTCTGGTGCTAACTTAATACCATGCTTCTGAAAAATGTACTTTTTCGCTTTTCATTCCCTTCTTTTTCGCTCTCTCTGCTGCTTTTCTATAATTTTCACGATATTTTTAAGATAATCATTGTAAGAGGATAAAAATATGTCCCCATCTCTTTTTATTTATAATAATCCTCAATGTCTAATTCGTCTCGAATAAATCTCTGTAACATTTCTTTTCTAACAAATGTGTAAGAAACGAGAAATTATTCTAACCCACAGAGAACACAAAGATAACTTATTCGATAAGTTGTCTTTGTTGCCTCTTTCCAAGGACCATTTGTCCTAGCTTGACAGCTTGTATATTTATTTTTTATCGTATTATGTTATATATTTATCTATTTTTACTCCCCCCCCCCCTCTCTCTTCTCTCTCTCTCTCTCTCTCTCTCTCTCTCTCTCTCTGTGTGTGTTGTGTGTATTTGTTATTAACCTTAGCCGGTCGTTAAATCGAATTGATTGTTGCAATATTTATTTTAGCATTTACATTGGTATTTTCTATACACATAAATATCTAAAAACTGTATAGCTCAAGTATTAGAATAGAAAAAACGTATTTTTAAAATCTAGTATGATTAATGTCATTTTAATTTGCTTTTGAAATACAATTTTGATGGTGATGATAGAGTATATTACTGCGCGCGCCGCGCTTAAGAAATTAAAGAAAAAATCAAATCTGCATTTGTAAAATAGCACTTTTTTTTCTTCAAAGAAAAATATATTCTAAATACAATTGTATAGTATTAATAATTACGAGATGTATGGCTATAAAGTAACCATACTATTTTTTTTTTTTTTTTTTTGATTCTTTGTGCGAATGCCAGTTACCAACCAGTGGCACCGTTCTAAAGCTTGAAATCAGATCTATTAACTGAAAAATTTCATTATCATCGGACGTACACATCATGAAATATGTCGCTCGAAAGGGCCTGTAAAAATTTGATGTCACCATAAAAACACAATAAAGCAAAGAGTGAATACCAACTTTTGTGTAAAACTTGGGAAAAATGCAACGCAAATGTACGAAATGTTGTGTGAAGGAGTTTTATCGGGATGATTGTCTATTATATATGTACTCAAGTTTTTAAGTAAAAAAGAACATATTTTGAATAAAATAAATTTATTTCATTATTATAATTGTTTGATTTAATACAGCTTCAGTCCAGATACTTTATAGCCACATTTCGTATTTGATAAAATCTAGGATAAATGCGCGTAATATAATATCCAGTTTATCTAGCGATAGCGTGTAATTATCATCATTCTTTCCTTCACTTACCAGCTTTACAAATATCGATGTCCAAATCTCCGGTAATAACGTGCGAAAATTTTACGGTGAGTAATTCTTCAATGGAGAACTTTTGTCGTCGTTTACCGCGCTGATTCTTATCGGTATCATTTTCAACGGCCCGGGCATCGACGATCTTCGCTAGCAGGCAAATGATCGCGAGTACCAAAAAAGGCCTCATCTCGAGGTTATCGACCAGAATATCGATACGATGACAACGATGACGACGGCGGCGACGGCGGCGGCGGCGGCGACCACGACGACGGCGACGACGACGACGGCGACGACGACGACAACGACGACGATGACGACGACGACGACAACGACGACGTCGACGACGACGACAATTGCGACGACGGCGACGACGGCGACGACGGCGACGACGGCGACGACGGCGACGACAAGAATAGTCTTGAATATACTAATTGAGTCATAACAAATCAAACGTATTATTACTCGCGCACTCTTTTGTGTTAACGAAAGAAAATCCGCGCGGCCGTTTAAATGTAGATATAATTTTTCGACTTAAGCGCAAATTTTTCACATCGGTCACATCAGCATCCCGCACACTTTCATCTCGCGATGATACATGAGAAGAAATGTAAATTCTCGTTTAAACAAATAAAATACAAATAAATGCATCATTCACGAGTTATTAAACACATTTATTCCCCAATTGATAACCAATTAAAGCTCACGTCGCGATTCGGAATCGGACAGAACGGACAACGATTGTCCTTGCGTGGAGAACGTGGAGAACAGACTGATCGTCCCTCACAGCAAACACGGCGCGTCGTGTGTTCGAAAGCGCGCGCTCGTACTGGCATCAAGTCAAGAGAGAAAGATGGAGAAAGAGAGAGATACATAGCGCGCGCGCACACACGATACATACATATCATACACGTATATACATGCATGCATATGTGGGTACATATGTGTATATATTCAGAGGGGATGCCAGGAACAATCGGTCTCCTCCCTCGCAAACTGTGCGGCACGAGGGTTGCCGAGACACTGACCGAGCTTCCGTGCCTTGACAGATGAACGGACCTAGGGGATTTCTCGTAGCATAATAAGATGTACGAATATTTATAAAACAAATATGTTTGTGTCGAAATGAGTCACGATATAAAAACACACATCTCTCGAATAAGTAAAATAATATTCTATGATTTCATTAAAGAATAATTTATTTATTTTTATTTTTACAATACACGCATGTGCAATTTTCACATACAAATATATGTAAATAAATTGCCTTCTCCATTTAATGCTCTTTCTTAATGAAAGGACGGTGACTTGTCACATTGAACAAAAATTTGCATTGCGATGATATTTCTTTCAACATAAAATTATTTAAGTGAAATAAATTATTTTCAAACTATCACCCTGATAATATATATGTATCATTTTTATAGGATCAGCTTAAGTATTTTTCTTTTTTTTTTTTTTTTGTTTAAATGTTTGCACAAAAGGAATGATAAATTTGTACTAGCCATTTACGTACGCGGATATCCCAAAACTCTTAGAGTTCGTATTTTGCCCTGCGCCCTTGGAACATGTGTTTTGTATCCCACGCGACGCGATCCGTATCGGTCAAGTATCGGATTACCGTTATCGGATCACCCGTTAGGAACTCTGCTTATGAACCCTGTTTCAAAAGTAAATGCTTGTCCACGCTATCCGGAAAACATTTACAAAAGTAATCCTTGAAAATATATACATATGAGGCAAATGGCGAATTTTCTTTTCAATGTCTCATTTCTTTGGGCAGAGGAGGTCATATTTAATTTACAGTTCACAATTTCGGCAATTGCATATTACCAAAATTCAGATTGGGATGATAATTTAAAAAATATTGATGAATAACAAGTTTTTCTCACATTTTCTACAATTCACGCGACAATTTTTTATAATTTCATAATAAAACATATTCTTTCTGCAAAAACTGTTTTTGTAACATTTGTATGTCATCATATATAATAGTAGTACTAAACTCTCTCTGATAAATTAATTTCATTGTGAAATATAATACTCCTATCATATCAATAATATCCTATAATTACAATCATATAATCTGTTTTTTATATATGTAGAGATATATTTTCGGCTATATATACATATATAGCGCGAGACACTACAGTGTCTCTTGATATATAAAACCGAAAGAGAAAAGTAGGTATATGTATATATACTACACATATTCACACACATAGAGAGAAAGTGAGAGGATAAATTTCTTCTTTCTCTATCGGTAAAACAGTACATGATCATCTCGAATTACATCGTCCTATACTTGCTTTACATATGTTGTATGACCGATAGTAAAATTGAGCTAATAATGTCGTTAGCGCTTGGAATGTGCGAGACACCTGGTTGTAATGCCGTCGCGAGTCTACAATGTCCAACTTGCTTGAAAATCGGTATCCAGGGTTCATATTTTTGCAGTCAAGTGAGATACGTTACCTATATGTTAGGTTAAGTTAGTTATTTTGTGTGTTTCTCTATAATTTAAATTTTTATTCCGTTGCATATATATTTGTGCCTGTATAATGCATATGAGAGATATAACGTATATGATATATTATCGAATAGTAATTATAATTAGAGAGATTTTAATATTTCTTTTTAACAGTTTACAGTTGCCTTTTTTTTATCAATATAATCAATTCATTATATTAGATGTATCCCGGATATATGTACGTTCGCACACTTTTACGTCGTTCTTTGATTGTTTATATCTTTTGTCGTTTTTTTCTTTATCATTCCCATGTCACAGTTTCGCACCTTCTTAAATGAGAGAAAAAAGTTATTTGAGAGAGATTGGCCGATTAACGCAGCATTCTAATCTTCCAGGATTGTTTCAAGGGAAGTTGGAAAACACATAAAGTTATTCATCAATTAGCAAGTAAATATTGTGTGTGTGTGTGTGTGTAATATCAATTTTTATATAAATTTCTTTTATAACATTTATATATGTAATCGCAGAAGGGGAAAATGGAAACAAAGTTTCCGACACTTATAATCCTTGGCCAACTTACAATTATACGGGAAAATTGCGGCCATATAAAAAGGAACAACGCAGAGAAGTTCCCGATTGCATCAATCGACCAGACTATGCCTTACATCCGACTGGAGTACCGCTTAGTGAACAAGCTGTAAGAGGTTCTGGTCAAATAAAAATTCTCGACGATGAGGAGATTGAAAGCATGAGAGTAGCGTGCAAGGTACTATATTGCTTAAATGATACGCAACATAGCGAATTTGGTTACCCGTATTACACTGCATTAGTGCATATTATATAAAGGCTGCTATATATAAAGTTATTTAAATATAAAAAGTTATAATATAAACATTCCAAAGAATTAAAATCTAATAATCATATATTGTTGTGTTATTTAGCAGGATGCACATTAATTATTTCATCATCAAAGTGTTTATATATTATTTTATTGCATTTAGATACTTTATATGTAGTGGTTTTTAATTACTAGTGAGGGTGTCCGAATTTGCTAATAGATGTGATAGAGGAGGAAAAATAAAAGAGATTGGGAGAGGAGAGAGATGAAGGAAGAGGAGAATTGAATAACATGGAACGATACGAGATAGTTGACGCTTTGAATTGTGGATTTGATATTTTTCGTTCTGATCATGAATACATTAAATTTACATTATATTAATTTGTATAGCTTGGTCGAGAAGTGTTGGATGAAGCTGCAAAGACATGTGACGTTGGTATTACGACTGCTGAAATTGATAGAATAGTGCACGAAGCATGTATCGAAAGAGATTGTTATCCATCGCCATTAAATTATTATCAGTTTCCTGCTAGCTGTTGTACTTCTGTCAATGAAGTGATTTGCCATGGTATACCTGATACTCGACCTTTACAGGATGGCGATATTTGTAATGGTACATGTTTATGCATTATTCACGCATTAACAAATGTTATATGTTGTAGCTTTCTTTATCAGAAACTGCGTAATCTAACCGTATTCTTTTCTCAGTTGATGTTACAGTATATCACAATGGTTTTCATGGAGATTTAAACGAGACCTTTTTAGTGGGTAATGTAAAACCGGAAATAAAGAAATTAGTAGAAGTGACATATGAATGTTTGTCTAAGGCTATCGATATTGTAAAACCTGGTGAAAAATATCGAGAGATTGGTAATGTCATTCAAAAACATGCACAGGCACATGGTTTCAGTGTGGTTCGTAGCTATTGTGGTCATGGAATTCATCGTTTGTTTCACACCGCGCCAAATGTACCGCATTATGCCAGTAAGTACCTTTCTCATAATGATTCAAGTATGAATAAACTAATTTTTTGATTATTGTCAAATATAATTTTCTGATCAAATTAAATTAATTTAATTTAATTTAATTTTCTATATAACAGAAAACAAAGCAGTGGGTGTTATGAAACCAGGCCACTGTTTCACAATCGAACCTATGATATCTCAAGGCACGTGGAAGGACGAAACATGGCCTGATAATTGGACTGCTGTTACATTAGATGGTCAGTGGTCGGCTCAATTTGAACATACACTTTTAGTAACAGAAACTGGTTGTGACATTCTCACAAAACGGCTCGCAAATAATGGTAAACCATGGTTTATGGAACACTTGTAGTATAATAATAGTATTTTCTTAATTTTCATCCTACAATATTTAAACGCGAAACTTGTGCAAATTGATCTTGAGAAATATAATTTAAGCTATTCTATCTTGTATCTATATTTTACAAAGTACGATAACATTTTGTTTCTGCAAATGTACAGTAATACAAAATAAACAGCTTAATTGAATTTTATTCTTTCCATTTTGTAGAAATATTCATTATACATACTTATCAATGTATGGCAAATGCTTCTAAGTACTTTATTTTAAGCGCTAAGTTTTCGAGCGCTCAGAAAATTGAAGATAATTCTTGATAAACTGTTAATATAATTTGTACTTGAAAGGTTGGAACGGGAAAAAGGGGGGAGGGATATATAAAAATAGTTAATAATTTAAATAAGTATGTATATACAAATGTGTGTTTATCGATGAATGATGCGTGAAACAAGATCAATGAAATTCTACAAGTCTATAAAGACTTTTGTTCATTTTATCACCGACGAGATATAAATATGTGTAAACATGCATCTTATGAGCATGTAGATGTGACTTTAAATAAAATACTCGGTAATATCTTAGAAAAGTAACGACTTTTCTAAGAATACAAACGGGTGCCAAACTCAGCATGGGAATTATTATCATGAGACATCGTTTTAAACAAAGTGGTAGATTGCGAATCTTCAATTTCCCCATCTTCATATTCGTACTCTAAGTCTATGTTGTCTCTTTTCATATTACTTTGCTGATTGTCGTCACTCGTAACATAATCGTCCTTGTCATTGGGTATCATAATTTGTAGAGGTAACTTTTCATTGTTTTGTACCTTAAAACTTTGCCTATGACGATGCTGCTCACTTTTATGATACGGTTTTTGTTGATTATACATCTGTTCATCATCATCGATCTGCTGTTGATTCACAAGATCATTATCATCCTTATGATTAAGCGGCATTGGGTTTTTCTGCGTATCTTTTTTCTGTTGTTTTTGCAGCTGGCCTATAAGACGACTATTGACATGACCGGCAGCAGCTAGCGCGGCTAATTTTTCAGCAGCTTCTCTATTAGGAAGTGTCGTGTAGAATTTTGTCGATATGGCACTAGTGTCGGCCATTTTATCGAAATACGTTGTTGGGTTTACTTGATAGGTCGTTTCTTCATTATCAATATTGTTTTCGGATTGCTCGATTCCATCTATAGGATATGTAAATTCTTCGTTAACGTGCACATCACTCTGTTTACGTGTATCTATCGAAGATTCCGAACCCAGATTATAATCTGCTGTGACACTTTCGGAAGCGTAATCTTGATCGGGTAAAATTTGTTGTAATTGATTAGCCTGTTCGTCATAATTGAAGGAATGCATTTGCGGTTGCGAAAAGCTTGTTGCTACATCTGGTTGAAATATTTGGCCAAGTTGCTGCTGAAGAATGTGTCGCTGATCTGTGATAATCATAAAAATTCAACGATATACCTTTCAAACATTGATAGTTTGTCATAGAATTTATAAAGGAGGATATGTTGCAGTTACTTATTAAAATCGCAAGTATAATAAATTAATTGTTTCAGTGTAGAATCTTTTCATAATAATATATCGTTTTTTTCTTGAATATTGCCTAAACTAGCAATTAATTTTGATTTTATAAATTTTTAACAAAAAGTTAAATAATTTAAGAACTTGGGTGCATAATATGATTTATACTAAAATTTCCTACGATAAATCTGAAAATATTGTGATTTTGGCATGGCGACCAGCCGCGCGCGCGTGTGTGTGTGCGTGTGTGTGTGTTTTGTACAGATTATTACCTGATGTATATTGCTCCGTAAGTTTGTGTGGAAGATTATTTAACAAGTCGTAAAGTTGCATAGTTGACAGTGGTGATCCTGTTGAAACTGGATGACCTATATGGAAATCAGCTGGAATCTGCTGTGTTGTAGTGTACGGTATCTGAATGGCTGTAGAAGGAAATCCGACGGGATAGGAATTATGAAGATTCGTTTGCATTGGCATATTTGATTGGCCAAGTTGTACATTTGAACCTGCATTTAAATTAATAGCGTGATTCGCGAAAAGCTCGTTAAATTGTGAGGATTGATGAGGATTATTAATTATAATCGAATATAGCCTCGTTATATCTGGATCCTGAGGCTGATGAGCTGCCTCAGGTTGGATAGTTTGATGTTCGTTCAAAGCTACCACGTCGTTTTCTGTGACTTGATATTGATGTTTCAGTGGACTCGAATTTGTTGCTATTCTTTGTAGCGGTAGACTGCTATTAATTGCGGCTAATCCAAAAGTAGTTGTCATAGGATCTAGGCGAAAATTACACCCATCGAATCAAATTATATTCCAATCTTGTGACATTGAGCCAACTTAAGATGGTTCTAATATAATAATAAAAATGTAAGCTTACTTTGCACAGTTGTATGATAATTGAGATCATTCAAATATGGACGATAATGTGCAATCTTTTTCGAATCGGTCGGCGAATTGTAAGGTTTATCCGCTGGACTCAAATTTGGTGCTGGAATCGTGTGGATAGGCCCTTTGTCATCATCAATATCCCCTCGATGAGTAGGCGGCAAGACTGTTAGCTCTGGTTTGTATTGCGAACTATATTCCTGTATCTTGTTTATAGAATAAAAATCCTTGGTGGGAATGCCACGTTGTGGCAAAACTACATGGTTGTTCAAGGAGAATGCTCGTATTGGAATTTGATTATTCCAATTATTTGACAAAACATTATACATCGTAGGCCGACGAATTCTGAAAATTTTCGAAAATAAAATTATTCCGATGTTTGTAATGCAAATAGAAATTCAAATACTTTTTTTAAAGCCTCTCTCACCTATAATTAGTGTGTTTGTAAGGTATTCTCTGACGAGAGGGAGCGCCAGTATGGATAGTATTCCCCATGGATATTCGATGACTGATGGGCCGAGGCTTTTTCAGTATCAATGTAGGCGCGTATGGTGGAGATGACGGTCTCCTAATCTTATTTTTCGCCTCAGAAATGCAGACGCACGTGGCGAGAAGCCAGCAAATCCAACTGGCCGTCTATAATTTTCAAAGTGTATGATCGTGGAGTGATACTATCTTGTTTCGAAGGATTTCCAAAAAGAGAACAAGATTGCGCGTCAAATTGAATAAATGGAAAAAGACGGAACAATTCTCTTTATCCTTTTCTTTTCTTTCCATTTCTATATATTATAGCTGTTACTTGCATCGAAACGCAAACACGAAAGCATGAAGCAAAATGTATGAAGCAGCAAGTTGAAAAGTATGACACTAAAGTATGACGCGCGACGAGAGAATTGTCTTTACGGTATTACATATCAACATGTCTATCACAGTACGACTCTTTAGGCCGTACTATCCGCATCACGAATGCCAAGCGCGTAAAACCAAAGAGAAAATTGCCGCAAATCGTTGGTGCGCTAAAAGTGGAACATTGTGCTACATTGGTGCGGTACGCGGGAAGAGCGAGTAGGGTAAGCGCTGGTAAGGTATAACTTTTCGCTCGCACAGAGTGGAGCCGAGAAAAAAATGTAAAATGTATAAATGTAAGAATTGCGTATCAAAATATATTGCGTTGGCTGTGATTATGTATTATGTATATATATATATTATAGAGATATATGAAGATAGACCAAGCATGCTCTATGCATGGTTTCTCATAGTATTCTGTAGTTTTTAGATTGAGATCGCGCGAAAAAAAAGAGGTGAGATTGTAAGTCTATCCATTTTTTTAGTAATGCGTAAAACTAATGAAACGCCAGAAATTAAAATGATTCGCGATTTTTTCTCCTTGTTTCTTGAAGTAAATATACATATATATATAGTAAATGCTTGGTCTATCTTTTTATATGTCAATTGTATGTATTATATAGGTATCATACATACATATCATACACACATATCATACATACATATGTGTATCTCCATTATTGACACAAAAGCGCTTTGCTTTGGTCTTTAAATTTAACGATTAATGAAAGAGCTTTCGGTTAAACAGCAAATTGACTAAACATACAAAATTTGTCTAAGAAACATGAAGATTTTACCTGAAAATTTGACAAATCAGATAATTGTCAGAACCATTTAACGTTTTTTGTTATTTTATCTGAGCAATTTCTTATTTTTATAACATTTTTTTGTATATCGTATTATACATAAAAAAATCTCGAAGAAGAGAAAATTAGTATTGTATGTATATTTATGAAAATCGACAGAATTAATCTTGTACTTTAATATAAAAAATAATTAATAAATTAAATTTAGAAATTACGAAATATCACTGAAAAATCGATAAGAGTTACAATAGATCCGTTACATTTTCGTATATATAAGTGGACATTTGTTTATTTTCCAGGAATTGTTTCAGATAAATCATATTGGCAATTCGCCGAGAACGAGAGCGAGCAAGTTCATCATTAATAAATTTCCGATTGTGCCGACTATCCCGGCTGTCAGTCGGATAAACATATAAGCTCGCTCGCCCACGATCTATTAGAGCATTAGAGAGTGATCGATAAAAAAGATGCGCGACATGTAATAAATATAAATGGAATTTATTGTGATGAAAAAATGAATTAATCGGTGATATATTATATTTACCTAAACGTTAAAATTAATATATCTTACTTTTTAATGTTTTATAATAATTATTTTACATATCGTTAGTGCAATATATATATATGAATTTAATCTTTTGCAAGTTTAAAGTAAATTTATCTTCAATACAATATAGGTGTGGGGCGTAATAAATAAAGAAAAGTATGCTGTGTGCGCGTAAATATATTTTTTGTAATGCGCTTGAGAAATTATGCGACAGCACAAATATGTACTTTAAATGAACAATGTTTGAGTTTTGGAATACACGTGTATCTTACCTTCATAATAATTTATGCTTTTGTAGACTGCAACGTGCAAAACCGCACCGTTTCCGTTATTATAAGAATAGAGCAGAAATTAATTTGGATCGTACGTTTATAAATAATCAAATATATTAATATACGCGCGCGGTGATTGACCGCGCAAAGAAGTCCGACGCGTTCTGTACGCAATTAGGTCATTGTCCTTCATTTATACTGCGAACCGGCGAATGTATCATCGAAGACTAAAACCGGCCTCTTACCTCGTCAACCAACAGCAATTGCCTTCAAAAGGCCGCCGATAGAATCGGAAAAAATTGGGAGTGCCACACGGGGAATAAATTTGCTTTATATAAATAACAATTATCATTGCGTGACACAGAATTTTACTGAATAACTCTAAAGAGACGAAACGTGCGTGCGTGCGCAAATGTGTGTGTGTGTGTGTATGTGTAAAGATATTTATCTAATTTATCCAATACACATGCACACACATATATACATGTGCAATTAGATTTACGCGTCAATATAGAATACTTATTGCCAAGAAATAGATTTTCTCTCGCGCGCGCGTGTGCAAAATAATTGCGTCTTAAGTCGCACTATTCTCGCTGCATATACTATTAATAATGAGGAAATTACAAATATATGTGCAAACATATTGACAAACATAATAACATCAAGGATAGCTTAGAAAAACCGAGGATCATGCTTTCGCACGACTTGATAATACATTACGCACACGTGTCTACATAATGTAAAAAAGAAATATAACAGAAAAATCGAATCTTTCACATAATGTATTTTCGCTCGCGAATGCTAGGAATCGATTTGATCAAACGGTCGCGCTCTCGCATCGTTTCTCTCCTTATCCTCATACCGGACTCGCATCGAGAATGCACAGTCGTTTATGCGCGGTTAAAACTGCCACGCGTGTGTGATCCAGTGACCTATAATATTGTTATGATGGATCATGAGAGCTAACAATTGAAAAAATTAATATTTGACAGCGAATTATTTTTGTCTTTAATTATTCAAAGAGTACGTTACGGACTATAAATTTCTTATAGTCATAAATTTATATGTTAAATAAAGAGTTTGTGTGCATGTGTGTATGTGCGCGAGCGCATATATTATTGATTTTCATATTCTCACGTATTAACTTTATATAGTATAATACATATTATATACATGTATTTTATATATTTTATATTCTTCAATATTTTTTGACGCAGAAATCTTTGATAATAGTGGGAGATAATCCGGTCCTAACATTGACGAGTAAAATATATTACGATTGACGAAATATATATAGGATTAGTTTTGAAATCCTTATTAATTAGAAACTACAAAGGAATCGCTTCAATTCCCTTATTAAAGTAATGGAAAAGTCAAATTTTGTTTCTCTATCTCACTCGGAATTGAATTAATATGTCGTGCATCGTACTGTGTATTCACTTGGAAATTGAGGTCATTTCTTCTCGGTTCTTAATACACATTGAGAGAGAACAAAAAGAGAGATATAAAATGCCAGTTGACTTCAATTCACAAACTTTAAGTCAAACCATCTTTATTTATACAGAGAGTAGTTATGGAAGTTTTTATATTTGATTATTTAAAAATTGTTAAAAAGTTTAAATTATGGCCCTAATGGTTTAATATAATTGAATGTTGGTTCATAGATTCTGGTTGCTTTGTTTAATGATACATGCAATAATCTGTATAGTAATGGTATATAAAAAATTAAAATGATATACAGTAGTACAGATGTCTAATTAAACTGACCGAATGTAACAGCGTCGATAACATAACGACTGAAGCAAACATACATAGTAAAAATAGATAATACATTGTCAATGTCTGAATATAGTCTATTGCCAATCTGTTGACAATCAATACCATTAACGGAATAATGATGCATGGAATGTTTCATAATTCTGTGTAATTTATATTGTAATATTATTTTTTAAATGATAAAAAAACTATAACCAATGGTAATATAAAAATTAATAAATTACGAATATTATTGCATGATTTGTTTATTGTTAAAGAGAGCGATAATTGTATTAAGTAATGAAAAAGTATTCTTATTTAAATCAAGATTTGAGGTACTTATGTAAATAAAAGATAGCCTCTCGTACACAAAAAGTAATTTATAATATAAGGAAAAATTAATGAAATAAAAAATATTATTTAATATTTCCTTTCCTATCTTTTCCAATTTTACAAGAGCTTTCATTTATCCATATAAATTTCTATAGAAATAAATTTATCCACGCGCGTGAGTGCATGTGATGTGTGTACATGTGTGTGTGTGTGTGTGTTTGTTGCGCGCGCACACGCGTGTATGTATACATAGCAGTCTTCATCACATGTTACGTGTTTGATAAAAATATAGAAATTAATATTTTACCGGTTATAAGATAAAACATATATATCTTTGCATACATATATGTATATGTGTATAAATATATATAGGTTGAGTCAGGAGGAGAAGGAAATATTTTGGGAGACGATAGTATGGGTCATTGTAAAAAAAAAAAGTTTATATGAACAAGGTTATTATTCTCAATAGCTTCGGAGATACAGTTGTTTGAATTTTGTGGAAGTGACGAGATATGAGCACTGGGAAATACACCGTTATTACGTAAATCATTGAAAACTCTGGTGAACACTTTCCGATTCGGAGTTCTTCGGTTAGGAAATCTGTGGCGAAATTCTGCAACGGCAGCAATAGCACTTCCATCGCAAAAACCGTGAACATACATCATACCGGCGTATTCGGCATGTGTAAAGATTTCTGGCATTGTTATAACGCTTCATAAAACCTACACGTGTCTTCACAACTCTCAGTTGTTAACTGGATCGTGCAGGATACTAGGTACTAGGTACTGATATTGCTCATGCATCAGGGAAGGGGAAAGGGAACAGATGTGCGCGCGCTACATTCAAACAGCTGTATCTTCGAAACGATTGAGAATAATAACCATGTTAATACAAATTTTTTTTACAATAACCCATACTATCGTCTCCCAAAATATTTCCCTCTCCTCCTGACTCAACCTGTATATTAAGAATAGTTTTTATTAAGTTAGTCGAGTAAATTTTTTCTGCCAACTTAAAAATGTTGCACATACGCATTTCATCTACTACAGTTTTTAAAAGATGTACTTAATTCAAGTCACTAGTTTGTGTCATATTAATTTTACTGTTGTAATCACACAGTTTCCACTTGACCTTTTCTACGTGATTTGGATTCTTGCCCTTGCGAAGATGTAAAAGACGTTTCTTCAGAGTGTTTTCTAATCATAGATGAAGATTCACTGTTATTAGAGCAAGTAGCGCCTTGACTGCCCCTTCTTTCTGGACACATATGTGCTGTGTTCAGTCCATTCGACGTAAGAGAAGCTTTGCGGATACGCATATCCTCCAAAGGAATCTCCTCGCTTCGCGGTCTTGGCATCTTAGGTGAATTGTCTCTAGATCGTAAACCATTTTCATGAACTTTCTCGTTCGAACTGGCATCATCGCGTTTGGAACTCGATGCCACTGGTCTAATATTTTCTCTACGCATTTGAGCGGCGAATCCAGGAACTTTGTTTACCATAAACATCGGTCTTGCTTGTTCCTTTTGTGGTCTTTGACCACGTCCGATAATACCTAGAAAAATTTAATCGACTTTTGCCCAAAATTTTTGTCAATTAATTTTTACTTTGGTTTTGCTTACGTTCGTGTCGTAAACCACGCAAGGCATAGTTGGGTGGTGTCGGACAATGAGGCATACTTGTTGGAATATCCAACAATCTTGCAATTTGATTCATTTTCTTTTGTCTGGCTTTTATTCGTCCCTTTGTTAGCCTAAAAGATTCGACAAGTTCAATTTTGACGATTGAATAATGCGATTTTGCGACAAAGTTTGCTGTACTAAAACCGACCTTTGTTTGGCGGCCATACATCGAATGTGATCGTCAAAAATAAATTTAGCCGACAATAATGGTATGCGATTGCCTGTACTACTATTTAATGGTTTGTAAATTGTTAGATGCAAGCATCTCGAATCGTCCTTATCACCGGCTACATCAATATCTTGTAAAAAACCAACCAGCTTTGCGACACCCCATCCAAGTTTGCTGGTATCAGGTTCAACGAGAATCAATTGCACAACGTCAATGACTAAGAAACGGCGAATTTTCTGACCATCTTTCCATACGACAGTACATGCAATCAAATCGCTATTATCTGTAAAAAAAAGTTATAAATCTATGCACCATTTATCCACATTGTAATGACAATTGAGAATGACAAAAATACTGTGAATTAAATATTGCAATGTCTATGTATGAGTATGAGTGTGAGTGAGAGAGAGAGAGTGTGTGTGTGTGTGCGCGCGCGCGCGCGCGCGTGTGTGCGTGCGTGTGTATAATATATTTTATACACATTATCACTTTGCGAGTAATTAATTATGTCACGAGATGAATAATTTTTACTTAGATCAAGAACGTTGTTAACTTGTACGCAATTAGCAGGATTGGTCAATGGCAATTGAGTCTCTGCTTCCATATTGAGCGTCAGAGCTAGTTCTCTTATCAAGAAGAAAACTCTTATCGCACGTCGTGCTCTTTCCACCTGCACAATCATTCGCGATTTCGTCTTCTTACGATAAATTGCAATAACGTTACTTTCTAGAGTTTTATGCATAGAATTTATCTTTTTTAAATACATAGATTAATTTCTTGCACATGTACCTACCTCACCGCACGGTAGTCTCTTACTAAATTCAATGCCAGTCATAGGTGTACCTGTAGGAGGCAACAAAATATTGCTATCCATCATTAGCCACTCGACATTTAACGGTCGCTTTTGTATTTCACTATACTCATCCTCAAACATATCCAAGAAAATATCTTCGCTCTAATAAATAAAATTTAATATCAATTTTTTTATAGAAAAATACATGCCGTTTTGTGCAAGGGGGGAAGAAAAGAGCACTTGCACAGGTGTATCTATAGTTAATGTACTTTATGATAATTCCGACCTTGTAGAAATTTTTGAGCAGAGATGTGCTTTGTTCTTTCGCCGCTTCAATGGCTGCTAGATGCGACTCTTGTAATAAGCATTGTCCTTCGGACACCATCAATTGTGTTAATAATTTAATGGTTAATTCCAATGTAACAAGCCTCACTCTGGTGTCTGTGTATAAAAAACGAACAATTTTGATATTCTCTTGATGAAAAACAAAAGCTGCAATGCTAAATGCTACATTTGTGTGCAATCATATATATTACAATATAAAATATTAAAATAACACTCACTGGTCTGACAGCTCAAAGTTATAATATGAATCAATCTATCCATGAGCAATTCATTATATGAATTTTTAATAGCCATATTATTATAGAATGGAGACAAGATTATATCCAAAGTTTTACGATTTATACCCTTGCAAAAATCTTATTATTATTACATGAAACATATTTGGAAAATAAGAAACACATATCTTTATTAAAATTTTTATAATACTTACTCGATTATTAGCTAATGCGTATAGTAGGCAAAGTGCGAATAATGCGGTATAATCGTTTTCCGCGCATAACAAGGAGCTGATTATTGTTTCTAAAAATGGTTTTTTCCCGAGGAATTCGAATAGGTCACTCTGACTTTGATGAGATATCAAGGGACTCTCCAATGCCAAACGTTGCTCTTTTTCCTCATCCGTCACATTCAACTGCTTAATTTCCTCTAAACCTTCTTCGTGTGGAATATTTCTATTTATTGGTGTATTTATAAGAACAGGGATATTCATTGTCGAAGCAGCATTGGAAGACGTGCTCGGATGATTAAATTCTTGTGATTCATCAATCGCGCCTACAGCCAACTCTTTTATGTTTCTTACATCGCTTTCTTTGTTGCGAGGCACCTCGGAAATTGATAGCGTTTCACTTAAAGTTTCTAACGATTTTTCCAACGTTTCTTTTGATAATGTAAAATTGGCAGACTTATTTGATGGTATATCTTTAAGCTTTTCTAGAACCATATTTGTTCCAGTTTGAATTGTCTCCAAGTCAGACATGAGCATTATAACCGCTAATGTATGTACAAGAGGGCCGTGCGATACTATCAAAAAGACTTGAGAAAGTAGGAAAAGTGCTACTACAACGCTGACATGTTTTCTTTCATCCTTCAAAAAATTCAAATTATTTATTATTATATATGTAAAAGTTGTTTATTATTATATATGTAAAAGTTGAGAGAAAGATAAAAAAATTTGATCTTTCTACCTGTGTTTGGCACGAAACATTCTTGTATTTCATCAGTGAATAAACATATAATGGGACTAATAGTTTGTGTAATAAATGTTCTGATAAAACTTTATTTAAGTCTGGTATATTCAAGCATAAAATGTCATTTAAATAATGCAGATGATCCAAATGTTCTGCAACTAAATCCGACAATCTGTTTTGACTCTGATGACTGGAAGAGAATATACTTTATTGATAACAGGGCAAAAGACTGACTTATCCTAGCAATGTGGATACTTACTCGGCATCATTTCGGACGCAAGTGTCCAATTCTATAATATGATCACCAATGAAATATACGAGATTACTAAAGTATGGTGCAGCTGTACGATCCCTTATAAAAGCTAGCATGGATGCATCTTCGACGCGGTATACGTTCAGCGTCAAAGTTCTCACAGCTATGCGTACCATACCCTCCGAATGATTAAAAAATTTTATTGCTTCTGTGTACAGTGGGAAATCATTGGTATGCTGATAAGAGAATAAACTCGTCATAAATTTGTCAATGATGGATTTTAGTATAACTCCAATGTGTGTGCGCGCAAGCATGTATGTGTTGCTTGTGCATGCACGCGCGCGCTTATATATACACACACACACACAACTTACTATATACAATATGGACACACGCGTGCGCCATTAAAAAAAAAACACAAAAGACTGACTTATCCTAGCAATGTGGATACTTACTCGGCATCATTTCGGACGCAAGTGTCCAATTCTATAATATGATCACCAATGAAATATACGAGATTACTAAAGTATGGTGCAGCTGTACGATCCCTTATAAAAGCTAGCATGGATGCATCTTCGACGCGGTATACGTTCAGCGTCAAAGTTCTCACAGCTATGCGTACCATACCCTCCGAATGATTAAAAAATTTTATTGCTTCTGTGTACAGTGGGAAATCATTGGTATGCTGATAAGAGAATAAACTCGTCATAAATTTGTCAATGATGGATTTTAGTATAACTCCAATGTGTGTGCGCGCAAGCATGTATGTGTTGCTTGTGCATGCACGCGCGCGCTTATATATACACACACACACACAACTTACTATATACAATATGGACACACGCGTGCGCCATTAAAAAAAAAACAAAAAAAAAACAAAAAGCTCTTTCAACCAATTCAACAAATGCAAGTAGTCATAATTAAGAGATAGGCACAGAGAATTATGTGTGTACCTCGTTTACCTCATTATAGAAGAAATGGATGGTATGTGCATTTAATTTCAAACTCAGTGTCTTCAGAAAACTAATATAGTATGCCATTACTTCCTCGTCACTAAAGTCGAATTTATGCACTATTATGCTGTTTACATGATTATTACTCAATAGATAATCTGAGAACAAAAAATTTTAATATATTTTAATCTTATTTGATACATAGAAGTGTGTACAATTTTATCACACTTACATAAAGATGTCTCGTTGCGTATGTTTTCAAATAAAATATTTAATGTCTGAAGCAATTGAACACATACGTAGCTTCCACATTTTTGTTTCATAATACGTAAAAAGAATGAAAGCATGTTTTTCTCCAGAAAAAAGCTGCAAATATATATAATACTTTGTATGAATCACATTTTTATATATTTTGCACACTGACACTTAATTCTTAAAAGATTATCAACATTTATCAATAAAAATTGCAAGACAACATTATCATTGTCGATAAAAACTCAATGTCGAGGGGAGCATTACTTTGTCTTTCTAGATTCTTATTACATCCAAATAACAAATTTAAATTATTGAGAATAAATATCGTCCGCAAGTAAGCGTCTAATATCGGCAGTGCCGAGAAAAATAACGGACAACTGTCGATATTATGCGCAGATACAATATATCATGTCGGAAACATGCGATAATTCTGTCAAGTAAATATCGTAACTCAAAAAGTATTGTTAAACATATTAATATAATAATAATTGTTTAATATAATGATAATCTCTCTGATTTTTTTGAAACTCATGTATTTTATATACATATATATGTGTATATATATATATATATATATATATACATATACTTCAGTGCGTTGAAATCTACTATCATCCTGTTTATAATAAAAAACCGAAACGACAATTTCTTCCAACATATTTTGTTACTGCGCATCGAGATATATAAAGTATGCAAGTTTTGAAAAAATTGAAAAAAGGATCACACGTCTTTGAACATTTATCTTGTTGTTTCTACTTACTCGAATACACTGCTATCATTTTGATCACCCCATATGAGAATTTCAGCTATCGAACGCAGAGTTTCAACCAGTAAACCTCTGTTGTTTTCAGACACAGTCTGATTTTTTGACAGCACATTATACAAATACCTGATAAAGTATAATAGATAAATGTATAAGATATATACTCGTGCTTCCTTCAATAACATGATAGTAGAGTGCATTAATCGATTATCCTTACTTACTTGAGATGCTCCGGGGAATGGGGATTTTTAGGCTTCCAAAGTCCGCCACCGAACCAGCTTCGACTTCGAAACATTTTCAATTATCTTGAGCGCAAAAGGATATGCCTACATTCGCATTTCATCCAAATTCCTTTCGTAATAGTTTATCTCTCATGCGACAATCGCGGGAAGACGTCGTTTCATCATGCTCGTGTAATCTGTGCCAGTGTATAAATAATATTATATCGAGATATATAAGAGTTACATTGTATTATATTGTATATTCACACAAGGTTAGGATTTTAATTCTCTTCATGTGAGCAATTTTTTGCGATTCGTATTATATATACGTTCAGTTCGAATTCATTGGCCTTATGTTAATAGTATGTTGACCTGTATGTTATCATTCTTTTAATCAAACCGTTGAATTTTACACGAATTTTAAAGAAAACGGTATTCAGTTTGAAATCCAACTTTCTCATTACGTTCAGAATAGAAATACGATTAGGTTAAGTTAAACTCAGCTAGAATTAGGTTAGGTTAGGTTAGATTAATATCGGCTGTGTTCCAAAATTCACTGCCAGTACTGGAAATCTACAGTTCATGTTCAGGTTGTGTTTTGTGTTCCGATTTCCCACCCAGGTGCACCCGATATTAAGTTTGCTCGCGTTGCTTGAATTTTTTGCACTCAGCATCTTTGCTTTCACTCTCTTCAACATCCGAATATATATTCAACTCGTTTTAAGTGCAAAAATTTTTGGGGATTTCGAGCAACGCGAACAAACCTATTATAGTGTACGTTAAGCCCGTATTGAAGATTAAAGATTGGAATTTGACCAATCAAAACAAAAGGGACTAAAATTTCTTTATTCTGATTGGTCAAATTTCAATCTTGAATCTTGAATCTCAATCTTCAATGCGTAGTCTGATACGAGCTTTAAAGATGATAGATCTCTGTTTACCTTTAAGAATAATCTCAACTAGTTTTTTTGTAGTTACATATATATCTTGTTTAACATTTTTCTATTATTCAATATACTCAAATAATAAACCCCGTCAATTTTATGATTGTGATATAAGAAGCAGAAATAAAAAACATCAAAAAAACTCAGTATTGCTCTCGTAATCAATAATGGTAAAAGTGTATTACACATGTATTATATATATGTATGCATGCATGTATGTGTGTATGTATGTATGTATATATGTATGTATGTATGTATGTATGTATGTATGTACATACCACAGATTTTGTGATTGTTTTTTTCTTTTCTTGTTTAGTTTAAATAATATAATAAATAGAGTTTGGAGTCAAAACCGCCGACAATGAAAGTATTGGAACTCTATAGCGGCATCGGAGGAATGCATTATGCGCTCCGTGGTATGTATAAACATAAATATTACAAATATATATTGCGATTAGAGAAATTTAAGAATTAGCGCTAGATTATATTATGATATTAATTCGTCCTGCTTATTGTACTTAACATACATATATATTATTATAGAAAGTGGAGTTGCGGCAAAAGTTGTTGCAGCAATTGATATAAATCCTGTTGCAAATGCTGTCTATCGCCACAACTTTCCAGAAACTGTTCTTATGAATAGAAATATTGAGTCTCTTAATGCACAGGAACTGAACAAATTGGGTTTAGATGCTATACTTATGAGTCCTCCATGTCAACCTTTTACTAGATTAGGATTAAAAAAGGATACTCTTGATAACAGAGCTTGTTCTTTGTTACACATTTTAGACTTAATACCAGAATTAGAATGTTTAAGATATATTTTGCTTGAGAATGTTAAAGGTTTTGAAGTATCTCAAATGAGGGATAAATTAATAGATTGTGTAGGCAGTTGTGGATATGTTTACAGAGAATTAATATTAAGCCCGTGTCAATTTGGTATACCAAATAGCAGGAATAGATATTATTTATTGGCAAAGAAGAAGAATTTGAAATTTTTTTTCAAACAACCCTCGCTTAAAAATGGTTTACCATCTGAATCATTAAAATTACTGCCGAAAAGTAAGCATGTTATGTTAGCAGAGAAGAGTGGCAAAATTAATACCAAATCTGGCAGAATGTGCTACACATTAGATAATATTTTAGAAAACATTGAAGAATCCAAATATTTACTATCCTCAAAATTATTACAAAAGAGAGCATGGGTGTTAGATATACGAACATCTGAGAACAATGGTTCTTGTTGTTTCACCAAAGGATATGGTCATTATGTAGAAGGTACAGGATCTGTATATTGTCCATTTGCAGATGAAACAATTAAATTAAAATATAGTGAAGCTAATAATTGGGAGAACAATTCAGACAAACAGGTACAACTCTTATCAGATTTGAAACTTAGATTTTTCTCGCCTAAAGAAGTGTGCAGGTTAATGTGTTTTCCAGAAAATTTCGATTTTCCAAAACATATTACAGATAGACAAAAATACAGGTTGCTAGGAAATTCAATCAATGTTCATGTAATTAGCAGATTAATACTTTTATTATGTACCGAAAATGAAAATATATGAGAATTAATAAAATTACCATATATTCCATCTTTTATCTCAACTCGATGTTTTTATATTTTCTTTTTATTTATATTCTTATATATGTATGTATATGTATAAAGTTATATTTTCTTGTATTTACACTTAAAAAAGAATATGTATGGTACATATGTATGTATGTATGTATGTGTGTGTGTGTGTGTGTGTGTGTGTGTGTTGTGTTTTTTAAGTGTGCAGGTTAATGTGTTTTCCAGAAAATTTCGATTTTCCAAAACATATTACAGATAGACAAAAATACAGGTTGCTAGGAAATTCAATCAATGTTCATGTAATTAGCAGATTAATACTTTTATTATGTACCGAAAATGAAAATATATGAGAATTAATAAAATTACCATATATTCCATCTTTTATCTCAACTCGATGTTTTTATATTTTCTTTTTATTTATATTCTTATATATGTATGTATATGTATAAAGTTATATTTTCTTGTATTTATACTTAAAAAAGAATATGTATGGTACATATGTATGTATGTATGTGTGTGTGTGTGTGTGTGTGTGTATTTTGTATATAGACATTTCTATAAAAAGAAAAGAAAGAAAAGAGACACACTCGTTTCTATATTATATTATTTCTATATGAATGAATTAATCGAAAATTATATGTGCAAGCTAAAGAGAGTCTTCTGTCCTACAAATAAAAGTCTCTAGAATTTAACAGATTAGCACAGATGTTACAACATTAAAACAAATTCCATTATTAAATCTAATTTTAATAATGGAGAAGAGTTAATATCTCAATACATTTAAATTTTATATGGTTTCCAAGTCTGGTGGAATAATAATTTTCTTTTCTTGGGCAAACTTTTTGAGCGCTTGATACTTTGAATGCCAAGATTCTACCTCCTCCCTCATACGATTATTATCCTCTTGCATGGCTTCCATATCTCGATATTCTTGAGTCTTTTCAGATTCTAATTCATCTTTCTGTTCAATACGTTTTATACGACAGCTAGCTGCATATCCTCTATTCTTTAGCGTACGTCTTCGCTGTTTCATACGCACAATTTCTTCCCTAGATAATCCACGTAATTTTAATTGTCTGTTTAAATCTCGTACCGATATCGTAACAAGTTCATCGTCGCTAATGTCCAGACATGGACCAGGTGACAATGGATCCTATATAAGGAATATAAAATATCACACATTACTCGATAGAATCTCAACATTTTTGTACAAAATGCTATAACAAAATGTTTATCTCTTTCATTTGTACTTGATAAAATTATGTACTAATACAAGAGTGAATGTAATAGGTGACTAAGGTCAACTTGTCATAATTCTTCGCCAACGTTAAAATTTGTGAAATATTAGGGCTAAAAAATTCAAATTTACAAGATTATTTTCATATACGATTAAATATTTGAAACTGTTACTTCTGCATACAAAAATATGCGCTCGAGAATTAATGCCCAGAAAATAAGACATGTTAATACCTATGCGATACGCTACACGACATACCATTTTTATCGATCTTTTTCCATCCATGGTCATTTCTGATTCGTTAATTTTTCACGCTCGAGAATAAAATAGCCTTGAGAACGCCCGAATTCCCCTGTCTTTTACGCTTTCCCGATAAATATGCTTAGTCATACTCGTAGACCAGAAAGACGTACTCGCCATTCCTATTCCCGTTAACAGCGCCATTCTGAAAACATCAATCCCAGATCCCAGTGGTTTTCTTTATCTTGTTTACACATTGCCAAATTTATTTGTATTTTATTCAATGCTGTTTTATAAAAAAATTAATCCATATCTCCTTACACACATGCCTCAAATTACCATCTTATTTAATTCATAAATACGAGGAATAATGCTTTTGATAAATGTCAATATACGCCAATTACAAAGTTTAATGAGCGCTCATTATTGTATTAAATGCACCTGTTTATTTAAACGATAAACGATTCAATGCAACGATTCGATGCATTTGCAACACGAAATGAAGTGAATTTCAAATTTAAAAAAAAGTATGCGGCTTATGACAAATGAAGTTTAGACCGGGTCTACAATAGGTGTAGTAAACCACTCCTCAACACTCGGTCTAGATATACTATGTCTATGTCTATGAGTAAGCCTTTATGGCCCTCGCACATTGGACGCGATGGGCGATATTCAATGATGGCTATCGCACACTGGACGCGATGAACGATGGGCGATATCCAATGAGAGCTTTATTTTTTCGGAAAATCAGAGCTCTCATTGGATATCGCCCATCATTTATCGCTCATCGCGTCCAGTGTGCGAGGGCCATAACGCGGAACGAGAACGGAACCAATCGTGAATGTAACAAAGACTGCGGAACGTTCGCGATTGGTTCCCTTTTCGTTCCGCGTTACGCTAATCTACTGCATGGGTTTGCACCTTGAGATAGTTTAATTGAATATGCCATGTTGTTGTCGCAATTCTCGATAAATCGGATGTATTTATATAGGATGTTTAATGTTATTTTCGCTTTGAAACTGATTTCTATTACCTAAAAAACTGTGACCAATTGAAGCTCGCAGTTCGAAGCGTCTGATTGACCAATCAAAAGAAAAAGGAGCGCCACCGACCGGCGACTTTTTCGCGTTTAATGCTGTCTCTAATCTTCACGATACATGCCGTGTCCTTGGCGCTCTCGCCATTTTTAAAAGGAGCCCAACGATCAGCCGTTGCAACTTGCAGCTTGCAGCCGTTGTCCGTGTTGTTGGTGATCCGTGGTCCGTGGTTGTCTGTCGTAGCGGTACGCCATTGATGGAGATTGTAAATGTTACAACGCTGGTGCGGTGTGTGACGTGCGACGGAAGGGAGGGCGATAAAGTGCGCGCGGTAAGAGTAAGGGTAAGGTAAGGGTAATGCAAACGATGGTGAATGCGTAGTGCATACAAGTGCGCGCGACGTTGGGTGTTGGGTTCATTCGTTGTGATTTCAGTCATTCCCTCAGTGATTGTGCAGGGTCGACGAAAAGTTGGTACGCGGCGCCGCGAAAATCCGTGATCCGTTCGGTTCATGGGCGTGATTTATTCAATCGTAAAGAGGACTGGTAGAGATCGGTAGAGATTCCTGGTACTTGCGCGGTACGCGCGACACAAACGAGATATTTATGATGTAAACAGTAGAACGCGGACAGAGGAGAATCTCTCGCGCGTTCGGGGGTAGGCACGGTAGGCTGCCGTTGAGGATTCGGGGCAAGAAATCCTCTCGAAAGGCGAGAGCGAGTTACATATTCTCGTCCTCTGACAATCTAATTGTAAGACAGAAACAAGCATGTCGAGCGCGCCGCAAATGTCTAGCGGACTCAGCAAGCTGAAGAAGAAACATTTTCGGGTGAAACATCAGAAGGTTAAACTGTTTCGCGCAAACGAGCCGCTACTCAGCGTGTTTATGTGGGGTGTTAATCACACGGTAAGTGGATAAGTGCGCGATCGCACTTTTCTCTCCGCTACTGTTGCGTTTTCACTCGCGCGCGTCCGCAACAACAATTTACGCAAATGACAACATACATGTATGTATGTTGTATGCATGCATCGTCACGCATCATTGTCGTTGTGTCATTTTTCTATTTCTACTTCTATTGCATTTATTCTCGCATCGGCACATCTCATTGCGTCATCAATTGTCAAATGAATAACTCGCGAAATAGATATGTCCTACGGTAACTCATCTAAATTTAAATTATATAATTATGTCTAGCTTTTTTTAATTTAATTTCTAGTTTACAACTTTATTGCGCGTAGATATATGTATAGATATTTGGCAAGATACACTTATTTTAAACTTATTAATTTGTATTTTTCTATCGTGTCTTTATTTAACAATAGATTGTTTTATTTCAACATGATTTTTAAACTAAATTCATTACGCTTAATCTCTTAAAAGTGATATATAAATTTATGCTTACATGTTTGCTGCATTGCAGATAAACGAACTTAGTCACGTTAACATTCCGGTAATGCTCTTGCCAGATGATTTTAGAGCTTACAGCAAGTTGAAAGTGGATAATCATCTTTTCAACAAGTAAGTTTCTTTTTTCTATATTATTATATGTTGTATATGATATCGAACAAATTTATTTTCTCGTATATATTTTGGATATATTGCTAATTGTGAAAGTGTGCGTGCGCGCGCACACGTTTTGAAATATACTCACGATTGTATATATACATATATGTTTTAATATATATATATATATATATATATATATATATATATATTGAAACAATATTAGGAATATATTTAGGCAATATTCTTTTTTTATACATATACACATAATACGCGTGTGCGCGCGTGCGCATGTGTGGCTTAGTACCAAGTCAACAAGTTGACTACTTCTAATAATTTTAGAATTGTCTGTGTGTGTGTTAAAGTGAAGATGTAATATAGCTCTAGTATTAGGAAAATATTTATTTATGCATAAACTATTTTTTGCAGAGAAAACATGCCCTCCCACTTCAAAATTAAAGAATACTGTCCGTTAGTCTTTAGAAATTTGCGAGAGAGATTTGGAATAGATGATTTGGATTACAAGGAATCAATGACTAGGTAATTCTACTCTTATGCTAATTATCTTCTCTAATGTTTCATATGTAATGCAAGTACAATATACATATAGCAAAGCGATTTTCGCGCGATTTTCAAAGTTGGAGGCGAATTTTCTTTTGCTCGCGATTGCTCGATATTACGTTTGTTGTAAATGCATAGAGACGAATCTCTAGAGGCTATCAATGGCTTTGTAATGTAACAATTTTGATGTGTTAGATGTCGGGTGTTTAATCCTTCGCGAGCAAAGCAGCATTCGGATTTGGTCGAAGGAATAGGCAGAAGGATTCGTCAATTGGTTCAACGCTCCGCTACCACTCCAACGATTACCCTTTACCCTCCTTCTGCCTCCTCGCACAATACAATTTTAAACAAACCACTGCGTAGCTGCAGTTTTAAACCAAAACGCCTGAGGTTAGCAAAACGTGATTTTGCCACATTGTGCAAATTCGTCATTTTATAACATAGAGTTAAACATCTTTTTTCGAAAATCAGCATAACTAAGAGCGTAACAATTCATTGATATTTTAATGATTGCTTAATTTATACATTTGGTCTAAAACACTTTACATAAGTGAAAGCCACCTAACGCTCACAGTTTGTACAATTTAAAGCATGGTGAGAAAGTATGTCTATTGCATCATTGTCGTTATTAAAAGATCAATCAATAAGATAATAAAGATAATTAATAAATAAATAAAGCGCCTTACATCGACGGCGATGAAAATGAATAATGATAATAGTGACTCTATTACGGTAATTCTATCGAATTATAATAATAGTAATAAAAACATCAAAGAGATATAATGAAAACAATAATGTGTTAACTTTAATGATTTATAATTAATAATTAATATATTTATTCACGCGTTTTAACGTAAATAATTATGATAACTGAACAATTCGTTTTACATGATAGATACTTATATTCATCAGCTACTAAAAAGTACCTCCAATTATCTAATATTCCTCTTGGTAATGATTTATTCTTTATATTTGCCAATCATGCTCCTATATAGTTCTGCGCCAGCAACTCATTCAAGTTGAACCACTGTTTGATTTTCCCATATATGCTCGATAGTTTGTTCCATTTCTTCTTTTTTTTCTTTTTTTGTTTCTTTTTTCCAGATCGCAGCCAGTACTTGACGATTCATCTGGGAAAAGTGGTGCAAAGTTTTATCAATCTTACGACAAACTGTTTATAATTAAAACATTGACGAGCGAGGAAGTGGAGAGAATGCATTCGTTCTTGAAACATTATCATCCCGTAAGTATAATTCAGAAAATATATAAATAATAATTCAAAGCTATCACTGTGTGTATATTGCATTGTAGTATATTGTCGAGCGACATGGAAAGACATTATTGCCGCAATATCTGGGAATGTACCGATTGACCGTTGATGGCGTCGAGCATTACGTAGTCGCCATAAGGAATGTGTTTTCGAATCACTTGACAACGCACAAAAAGTTCGACCTAAAAGGATCGACAGTGGATCGAGAAGCGTCCGATAAGGAGAAGGAAAAGGACCTTCCTACTTATAAGGATAATGATTTCGTTAAGGAGGGCATGAAGATTTACATTGGGGAAGAGGCCAAAGCTAAGCTAATAGAAACGTTAACCGCCGATGTAGACGTAAGTATTTATACAAGCGCACAGTATTTTTATGTAACAATTTACATATATATATATATATAAAATTTATAATAAAGTTATGTTAATAGTTATTTTAAGATCTATTTTAACAGAATTATCGAGATAAGACTTTGCTCTGACTATGTAAAGAAATTTACCATCAAAGAGTATATTTGAGATAATCTGTCTATAGTTCTTGACGAGATTACACTTGATGGATTACTCTTTGCTACTTGGCTTGCACGATTGCGCGCGCGCTGAACAAGAATCGAGAGAACGTGCGGAAAGAGAGGATGATGAGGATAATCATGAAGAGGAAGATGACAGCGAGTCAGGTAGCGGATTGGAGTCTCGAGGTCCAATGGGAGAGTAAGATGAGATATTTCTTTCACATATTTTCTTGCAACGATGCAACTCTATAATGCATATATTTTCTCACTCATCATTTTTCTCATCGATGACTCATTTGCAGCCGTTTGTGGGGTTGGAGCGGCGTCGGCCATGCAATTACTAGCATGGCAACACCTCCCGAGTCACCACATGCCGCATTAATGCGCGACACCAGTTTACAGTATGAAGATGCGATAATACCTGAATTAGATATTTATGCCATTCCTAGTAAAGAAGGTACCTCTTTCAAATATAAGCAATTGGATATTTTGATCGGATGCAAATATGAAAGTGCTTATCTCTTGTTTATTTTTTTAGGTGCTCCCACAAAGGAGATTTATTTCTTGGCCATAATAGATGTGCTCACGCATTACGGTGTACGTAAACAAGCGGCGAAAGCGGCTAAAACCGTCAAATATGGTGCTAATGTTGACGGTATATCCACCTGTGATCCAGAACAATATGGCAAACGATTCATAGAGTTCATGAGTAAAGCCATAGAGTAAAAGGTATTATTACCCATCAAAAAAAACTGACATTGCCTTGCCTCGCCTCGCCTAACCAAATCTGCCATCGCCTAAGGTATTATTACCCAAAAAAAAAAAAAAAAAAAAAGAAAAAAAATGAAATTACAATGATATTATGTGTACTATGTCGGAGTGAAATCGCGTTTATCATAACGAGAGAGTCGTATAAATTGATTGTCTCCGCAGTTCCCGTTCATTTTGCTTGGCACCGATTATCATCTCGAGTAGTGCTTTCACTCGCGGTTCATACACGATCAAACAGAAGCGCGTCGTAACAAATTGTTTATTTGCGAGCGTCTTTAAGCAAGCGTGTGTCTCGCGGATACATTATACTTCTATCGGAATTGTTTATTGTTATTCTACAACCAACGAGATTCTTATTACCTCGATCGATTATTACTTACTGTGTCTTTAGTCAGTCTTTCTATCAGTCATCATCTTGATCGATTTCTCAAGTTTCTCGCTTGAAATTTCTCTACATTTTTTCTAAAATATAAAATGTTTAATCGTACACATAGCATTATTATACATACACGTAATTGCAGTCGTGCAAGAAATTTGCATCACAGAACAAGTAATAACGCCTCCTCTTTTCTCTGTCCCCTGTTCTTTTTGCGCGTCGCACGTGATTAAAATAACAAAAAACATTATCCAACGATTTTGAATTGTTTAATGAATCGAATTCGATGGAAAATTAATTGCATTGAAATATGTACAAATTGGGACAAGCAGTGTTATTTATAGATTAAAAAGTTTCAAGTCGCACCAATCTTATTTCTCTCTGTTGATAGCCATGATATCTCGTAAAAATTTAATAACAATTTGTTTTTTGGCCGACTGATTAACCAATCATATAACAAAATATCTAGCTTGATGTTAATGTTGCAATAAATCTCGACCAAGCACTATGGCGCTTGCCAATTATAGAACTGCCCGGATTTGCCTAATCATTTTATCTAATAAGATGTAATTTTAATAGCTCGAAGCTATGACTGTCTGCTGTTTCGCTAAAGTTGTAATCAATAGAGATATATACTTCGTGTAATGCCGAGAGCAATGTATTATATGTGTGGACACACACCACGCGCATGCAACACACGTGTCGTGTATGTATGCATCTACAATCATCACAAATAAATGTTACATTTTGTAGACAGTTTGGTCATATACGTTTCGATTATCGCGAATCGATGTCAAATAGCCATTCTGGTTACTTTGTAGAATATATCTACAGGAAATTAAGCGATTCGATAAACGGTATTATGTACGATACATATCTCTCTTTGATAATTATCGGTTCCGATATTGGAACCGATAATTTACCAATACCATAACTTATATTTCGCAAAAAAATATTTAGAAATTCATTCGAATGTTTCAAAAATACACAAGCACATAAATACTCTTATAATATATCTACGATAATATCGTTTATTAAAGATTTTACATGAATCTTTAGTTTCACATTTTCTATTATGTATCTGTAAATTTATAATTTAACAAGAAATATTAAGAATTGGGAAAAACTATTGAGCGATTTTTTTTATGTATTATGAAAAAAAGTGATGAAAGATAATGCACATTGTTGCGTAAGACAATATTTTTAAATAATCAATTTTATATAATATATAAGTGTGTATGTGTGCGTGTGTTTGTGTAAAGTTTGTTAGAGCCAATTATATAACGCGCGCACACGACTAATTCTCTAGTAATTAATACATTTGTCTATGATACTTGATATAATTTATATATTGTCTTGATATATAATTGGTATAGTTTAATATATTTTATCATATTTTTTATTATACATTGAGACTGGCGGGTGTGATAGATGAAAGGAGGAGGGAGTATATGTTTAGGTTTGGAAAATATAGGCTTTTATATGATTGTCAATTGTATATTGTCAAAGTAATGCAGTTAAAATTTGTTTTAACAAGTGAAGTTTTTTCTAGATGCAACTGCATTGTAGTGTAAGAAATTAAGTAAAGAATTACATCCATCTATATTAGTATGTTTCTTTAGATACAATGACAAATTTCTATTCACATTCAAATAAATTGAATTTTATCGGTACGCAAAATGTCTGCGCAGCTAGTTCAGCTATAAAGAACAGACTCTTTGTTACATGTGTAAGATAATATCGCAATTTTTTTTATTTTTTTTAATTTTTTTTTATATCATCTCGACGTGTACAGAGTTCATCTTCCATCCTATATTAATGTTATAAGAGTAATTTGAAATAAAAGCGTCAAATGTTATTCTATGGCTTGAAAGTAAAACAAAATAAATTGTTATTTCTAATATGTGAAATATTTCGCCTTCTATCTCCGAAATAACGTCAGTTGCATAAATTCCAAAGTATCAATCAAAGTGTATGTATGTGTATGCGTGTGAAAGACAAAAAGACGAAAAAAATACTCTCTCAAGTATATCTGTTAAATAAATTACGATAAACAGATAATTAACAATATCGTCGACTCTGCGACTGTTTTACAAATTAAGTTGTAATACATAGAGAAGCTTTTGACAATGTACACAAGACTTATGTAGATGCTAAACTGTTTTCCAGGTTTTCTGCCCATTATGTCGTTTTGCTGCAGTTGGAGATATCTGCTTTAAACATTCTATATCCTTAAATACAATCTGTGCTCCTCCTCCACACGTTGGCAATATATCAGCCTACAATATACAAGGATACAATGTATACTGTGTCTCTAAAAAAAATGGTGTAGCAGAGTTTATACCTTATATAATTTGGTTTCGAGTTCGCCATCTGTGTCTTGTTCTTGCGCATAAAGGCAGTACTTGGCAGATTTGACTGCAAAATTGTTTGGATTTGTCAACTTTCGGATTCGTTTATGAAGATGTATTTGTGGCTGGAAGATTGTACCAGTTGGAACCATTCCAACAGAACGATGATTTATCCATTTATCGTTTTGCGATCGTCGATATCTCGGATTCACTACTGGAATCTGATGAGTAGTGAAATGCATTAGTGTATGCATGTTGAGGTCAGTTTTAATCTATTATTTGGCACAATGATAAAAGAAATGTAGCATTATCAAAGAATATAAATTATTCTTTTACTCAGCCTCTTTAGTTGGATTCTGCTTAGATATACTACCTTTATTTTTATATCTGATTTGAATTTGTTAATAGTTGCAATTTCAGCCAACGCAATTGTGGCGGAATGTGAAGAGAGAGGAGAATCAGTGCGCGTAGGTCGAATTGATTCGGATTCCGCGATCTCAGTTTGCGAACTCGAAGGTTCTTCCTTGGATGTCATCGGGATTGGTTCTTTCGCGATTTTTCCCTGAATATCATTGAGATTGATTCTTGTACAAAAAGGCAATGTCTGCTGGCTGCGATGGCTTTTGGCAATTTGAGAATCAATGGATATTACCATGACAGGTTCTTCCTTGGACACTATCGGGATTGATTCCTCTGCAATCTTCGTTGTCGTATTCAAAGCTATCGGTGCCATTAATACAGCATTAGCATCTGACATATTTTCATCAGTGGACATCAATATTTGTTTCATCAATTTTAATTTGTCATCCTTCTTCCTGATGTAGCTCTAAAAATATTGTAATGGCCCAAGATTTTAGAAGAAACAACTGAATTGTCTTGAAAGAATAATAAACACACATTGTAAATGTATATCTTTGTAAATTAAAGTATACCGTTAATTGTTTATGCTGTTCATGCAGTTTCATATCCGATTCATTGATCATTCTGTCAGTTTCTCTTTGTATCTTTGCATTGCATCTCTGTAGTATTCTTTGTTTGTCTATGGCGTGTTGTTTGAGCTGTCTGTCTCTATTTCTCAACTGTACAGAAATTGTATTAATGCGCAAAAATAACTGAGTACAAGATTACGTTGCAAAAACATGTTTACTTTTTGTTGCATATTCCTCATAATGTCACAAGCGCTATTCAATTTATACAGCAAACTATCAATTTGGTTTTGTAATTTACAAATACGGTTTTGTAACACAGAGATCTGAAATATTTGTGACAACACACACACAATATTAGTATATATTAAAAGGATGCATATTGTTATAATAAACAAATTAGTAGCATAATGTATTATTATTTCTCCATGTTATATATTGCCAATATAATCGTACCATCTTTTTCTGTTCAGTATTAGAATATTTTAATAATACATTTTCACGTTCCAATTCCACTAATATATTTCTAAAATTGTTCTCTGAAAAGATGATTCTTTTTTGTATTAACTTCAAAATATATAGTAGCGAACATTGCATATAATATCACTTTAAAAGGAATATACGGAATTATTTGTACGTTTTTTATGCACGTCTTTTTGTAATAGATCTCTTCTTTGAATATATGTTTCCAAAAATTGCATTAATTTCGCAGTTACTTGTTCGTCTTCAGGGTCTATCAGTTTTGTTTTCGGAAAAGAATCGCCCATTTTGTCTGCAAATAGAAAAATTACAATAGATGGGAAAGAAATATAAATATATATATATATGCATATGCATATGCATCAAATAAAGGCTATAAGATACCTTCTATGCAATATTCGTCTCAATTAATAAACATTCAGTGTTAAATCTCTACAAAAGTTGTAACTTGAATGGTTTACAGAGCATATAATATATAGAAATGCACGTTATATGTGTATGTACTACTGGGCACTATGTAGAAACATTTGAAATTCGACATGTCATAATTTTGAAATCTACGGCACAATCTTGGTTTGAATCTCCGCTAAATATGGTTCGAGTCTCCGCTAAGCAGGGTTTAAATCTCGGCTACATAGGATTCGAGTTTTCGCTAAAAAAGATTTTTAAGTCTTGGTCTCATTGTCAGCTAATTGTAAGTAGGCTTCGAGTATCGGCTAAGCACAGTTGGATTCTCTACTAACAATTAAGTAAGTTTTGCACTAATTGGATTTGAATCTTTGAATTCCTGAATGGAAGTTTTGATTAAATAAAATACGAAACGTTTATTAAAAAATTACTGCTGAATATGGATATTTTAAACTTATTAAAATTAATAGTAATACATATGTATTTTTAATGTGTGGTGAAAAAAATTAAATAAAAATAACGTACGAGTATATAAAAATATAAAAATTATATAATTTTTATATTTAAAAAGATATAAAAATTTGTATATAAAAAATGATTTGTTATTGTTTTGCAATTACCAATGTAAATTGCCATTGCGAAATTGCATAAGATATCTTTCTTTTCAAAAAGTAATCAACATTTATCGCATGGATTATACCCCCGCTCAAATATTTATGATTTATTTCTAGACAATGAAGTAAGCTTTTCTTTTCAATCTTAGAAATATTGTAATCTCGAGAATTGAAGGAAATAGCTGGAATTCCGAGATCACTTACAAACCGCGACACGGAAGAGAGAAATAATAACTGGAATGTGGATCACGACGGTTTATTCTGAGGTTTTTTCCGTGTGATTTTTAATTAAGAGACGATAGTTTTAATGATGTTTTAATGTTTTTAACAATAAATACATCAATAAAGTAATACGTAGAATGACAGAAATTTTATATTCACCGTTTCGTAATCAGTGAAATTTAGCTTTACAATTTATGACATGTCATAATGATGTGTCATGATATTGTATTATTGTACTTGTGCGTAATGTCGATAATAAGCATTCTCTCATGTTTCGTATAAATGATCCAGTCGTCCTTGGTATGCAAAACTACTTTCCTCGTTCCTAAACTACGTGGAAAATGGTATGTCTAGCTGCGTCGCTTGACGATTATGTTGCACCGAAAACAATGCATCGAAATATTGTGATAAGATACATTAACAAGTAAGTAACATCGTCATTTCTTAAAATAAAATTACAATTTTAAGTATTATTTTTAACCTGATTCACTTTTGTAAAAGTGACGATATCGAAAAGTTGCGCCGAATAAAAGATTGCAGGAAAATGACACGATATAATACGACTTTATCAATAATAAATAAAATTTATATATATGATTTTTTTTTTTATAAAAAAACATTCAAATTTTAAATTTCGGAAAATATTTTCATCATCCAATCTTTCCCTTGTTTCCTTGAAAGGACCCGTGTGTCATGTTGTCGTGGAGCGTGACATAGCAACTGTGACGCAACTATAACAAACGGGATTATATCGGGAATGTAGAAAATACAAAAAATATACCTGTTCTTGTATATAGGTATTCTTAATAGCAAATTCTCAGATCTCTTCTTCGAGTTGCTTTGCGTGTAACTTTGCTGCGTCGGCTGATCAACCGGGAATCCTTATTTTCACCACTTCATCTTTCTTTTACAAATTCACTCCTTTTACACTTCTGATCTTTTACGGGAACCGGAAAAGAGGGGAACATTTCTCTCATTTTCTTCGCTTTTCTTTTATACATTTTTCCTTCTACCGAGTAATATCTACCTATATATTCCATTTATGATTATATCTATGTATATTCTAAAAGAAATTTTCCTCGCCTTCCACATCGCTCTTTTTTTATAGACTTTTTTCGCTTCTTTTTACCGAAAGTTGAAGAACTTGTTCAATCTTCATCTTCACCTTATACTTGTTGTAGCTACCGTGCGACTCAGAACTCAGAACTTGTGCAATTATCTTCTCACGTGGCATCGTGTGATTCACTGCCTTTTCCACCTTGGCAATCTCTAAAGCTAGAAGCGCTAGCGCGCGCGACTAGCTCGTCGCATTCTGCTCGCGACGCACAGCATTCTATCATTTACCGTCGTGGCGATACATAGTGAAATAGTGATAGTATATAGCAACGCGCGATGATTATTATTATTTTATTACTGCTTTTGTCGGGACATTCGTGTGGGAGAGAACTCATCTCGGCGTCTGGTTCAATGAAGTAGCATCCCCAGTTCTCGTTAGTAACATCGACGTTCGAGATATCTATTCGGAACTTGGTGTTGATCGCGTCCCAGTTTTTGGTCGAGTCGCAGCGAAGGCTGTTTCCAATTCTCGCGCCTCTCTCAACATGACCGCTATGTACGAAACAGTAAGTGAACGATTAATCGAAACGTCGAAGCAAGTGTCGTGTAGAATCGATTAAAAATTAAAACGTCAAATGTTGAGCAAAAAATAGGAAAAATATAGATGAGATATTTAATAATGGTATAATTATTGCGATTGATAATTGATAATAGTCGCCGTCAGAATATGATATGATCTAGATAGGATAAAAGGGCCAAAAGACATCTTAAAGATGTCTTTAAATCGTTTTTAGACTTCTTTTAGGGACGCGTGTTGTCTAGAGACAGATTGTTTTGATCACTGGTGCGAGGTGAATGTGAGAGCGCGGGTAGAGTTAGCGTCTGGCTAGCTTCTTTTATCCTACATCTCTCTTTGCCGCATCGAGAACGTTTCTTCTCTTTCTCTTTTTTTTCTTTTTTGAATCGTCATGTGTTTTGCGGCTCGAACAGTAAGCGAAAGTTATGCTAAACAAATATACGTATTACAGTCGAGCATCGAGTTAAAATTAAAAAAAGAATGTGATACACCTGTGTAATTTAATAGCGATCTCAAAACGAGATAAAATATAACCGCTTTGTATCGCTAACAACGACAAGTGTTGCGATATATATATAATTTCAAGACATAATAACTTGGATGTTTGCCGAGTAATCCGCGAAGGATTTTCGCTCAAGAGTATTCGCGGTGATAAAGTCGTTGCTTGATATCTTTGTTATCCTTTTTTTCCACAAATATCTCACAAATTGCATTATTACCGTATATAGGAATCTGAAATCGATTTTTATCGTTGACCTTAATTATTTGATTATCTAATAGCTATCTAATAGCTATTTAAATATGCTTTGAATATATGCATATATTTGTATGGTGATTATATACATATATATTTATCTTAACGGGGATTGGTCGATTCCGAAGAAAAGCAAAACTTTTGACACATTTTAGTCTTATTGCACAAACTCATCGATATTGACCAATATCATTACCATATTATTAGAAAATATCAGCGTCTCACACTGATTACGTCCCGCTTGAGTGTGTGCATTTATATAAAATAATGCATAAATTTATGCGTGTGTCAAGTTTTAAACGAAAAGTTGTTTGCATAAAATTATAGAAGGACGAAAAGGAACGGGGCCTCGATAATGTCGCTTTCCAAATAGACGAGCCTCATATCGTCAAAAATGGCAGGAGAACGTATTATCCCGGAGGCTCGACGAGCATCCTGGATGTGGAGGCCATCGAGTCAGAAAAGGAACGCGCGACATGGAACAACAGCGTGGAATTTCTCATGTCGTGTATCGCCGTGTCGGTCGGTTTTGGCAATATCTGGCGATTCCCGTTCACGGCTTACGAGAACGGCGGTGGTGCCTTTCTCATACCGTACGTGATTTTGCTCTTTCTGGTGGGAAAACCATTCTATTTCCTGGAGATGATTATCGGACAGTTTTCCGGCAATTCGTCCGTCAAAGTCTGGAGCATGTCGCCGGGTTTCATTGGTAATTTTTCAATCTGATTTGTCTATCCCGCGACAAACGAGTAAATTAAATGATATCGTCGAGAATTTATCGCGCGAAATTAAATCTTGAAAATCCCCGACTGTGCGTCACAGAGAAAGAGAGATAAAAATTTCTGTAAATTATACACATTATACATTACTGATAATTCTCTATATATAACAATTCCTTTATTGCCCGAAAATAAAACTCTGCAAGCTCGTACAAATAAAGATTTCGTCAATTTCTTCCG